CGGGGCGCCCCGCAGGCCCGAGCCGCGGGCCCGGGGGGAGCGGGCCGGGAGCCGGAGCCCGCGGCCGCCTGGGCGAACCTGCCGGCGGCGCCGGGGAGGAGCCCTAGGCGGCGGCGCAGGGCGCGCACTCGGCGAGGGCGCCCCCTCCAGGGCCGACTGCAGCCTGCGGGGCTGGGCTGAGCGCGGGGTGGCCTGAGCGGTGAGTTCTAGAAGCCTGCTCTTTCTAAGACCGTAGTCTCCACCTCACTCGGTTACAGGCGACGGAGCGCGCGCGGGCGCGCACTCTGGCTCGCAAGGGGCTGGCTCGGGGTCCGCGGCCTGATTGGAGGGTGAGCCTGTAGCAGCACGGCAGACAAAGCGACACTGCTAGTGCGCATCATTCCTTTGGAGCTTAGGGTCCCTGCTCTCCTGCAGAGCCACCTCCTCAGTCGGCCTCAGTTCCCTCCTCTGTGTACCTCCCAGCGCTGCGGGATCGTGAATCATAACCACGGTGTCAGTGGAGGCCCAGATCAAGCTCCCAAGCTCTATACCCATGCTGACAATTGTTGAAGTTTAATCTTAATGCTGTGTGATCCTGCTTTTCACAGCTGGAGGGGACGCTCCAGACCTGCGCTTTTGACAAACTGAAAACTGACCTGCCCCATGCGGGGCGATTTTGTGGGAGTGGGTTTAAGAGAGAGCAAGCAAATGTTGAAGAGACCTCATGTGTCCGTTTCAGAGATGTTCTGTCGCCCGTGGCCTGAGTTGAGTGCTAGGCACTATAGTCTCTGCCTCCAAGCAGCCCCAGGTCTACAGGGAGGTCGTGACCAAGAAAATAAACTGGACTTCCCAGACCTAACATTTCTGTGCTAGGACTACCATTCTCTCCATCAAGGCTGGCCAGGACCTCTCTCTACACTGATCAGATAGACCAGAAAGGGAGGGGAACTGCCAGCCCACTGACAGAAGGCATCTGGTGCCCAGAAAGTCATCCCGAGGACCTTGGAGCCATGACCTATAGCGTCTGGACTTGTCCCTACTCTGGTAGCTGCTTCTCCCTGGAGTCCTTGAGGACCCACAGGGTCTACCCTCAGGGCAGGAGTGTCCAACTAGGATCAGGCAGACCTCAAACATTTCAGACTATAGGCCTGTCTTGAGTACTGTGCCTGTGAAGGACACAGTTCCTGATGCCCATCCTGGGTACATTCTATCTCAGGGATAGCAAAGTGCCATGTGCTGTCACCTGAGAATGTGGCCTATGAGGAAGAACCACTGTGGCTTTTTAAAGGTCCTTCTTACCCTGAGGCCCTAACGAGGGCCACTGATCAGAACTTCAGCTGGTTTATGTAGAAGCTCCTGCATGACTTCAGCATCAGTACACTGGAGTGAGAGGAGGCCTAGCCTTATGGTGTTAGTGTCTGGCTATTTACCCCATACTGAGCCCCATCAAAGCCCTGGAGCTCCCCCTAACCCCCAGCCTAGAAGCAAAATTTCTGAGAGGAGGTGACAGTGTGTATCACATTTGAAGTACCTAGAGGGGTTATTAGGGAAAGGCTTTGTGGGCCATAGTCCCTAGGGACTGAGGTAGTCCCTGGTGTGTGTCTGCTCCATAGAACAGAGTGCTCTTTTAGGAATGTGGGTGCTCCTTCAGATGGGATGCTTCCTAGGTGAGAATGCTCCCTGAAGTGGCTGGCTTAGTTCTGGAGATGTGGGGAGCCTGAGGAAGACAAGGGGAAGGGCACTGGTCAGGTACAAGTGTTGGAGAGATGGCTTCTCCCCTGCCTGGGTCAGAGAGGTGCTGTCTTATGAGAAGCAGAGGGGACAACAGACAGTTTAGCCCAATCCCTGACTGCACACAGCCTCATGTTTCCAAGTGATGCCTGCCTAGGCAAAGGGATCTACCCTGGGAACCCTGTGCAAGGGAAGCCTGCAAGGGCATCTGGAGGGCTCACCCTTGGGGATGGTGGCTACATGATGTAGGGATGCTGGCCACACCTCCCGGCATAACTGAGAGGAAGCCATCTGGGGTCAACAGCCAGAAGCGAGAATTGAGGAGTCTGCTCATTTGGGGCAGGTGTTGAGACCCTCTAGAATGACAGGAACTTATAAAGAGGCTGGACTAACCCCTTTGCTCAGAGATAGCCAGTTAACCCCAACAGGCTGCTTTTGGTGGTTCTGTGGCAGGCAAACAATGTGTGCCCCCAAAGAGTGTATGTTCAAGAGTAGTTGGTGGCAGGCCACACTGGGTGTGTTTGTACCTACTATGTGGGGGCATGCTGGGAAGGTCCTAGTGCATTTCAGAAGGAAAGCCATGTGAAGTGAAGCATCCTGGGTATTCAGAAACATACTGATGAGTGATGCCTAGAAGTGTGGGGTTGGTCCAGCCAGGGCTGTATAGTGCCTGGATGTTGGGTCCTAGGCTCTCAATTACGTGCCAGGCCTCTGCCGCAGGATCTGGCTGTATGTCTCTCCATGAACCCTGGAGCAGGGTACATGCTGCAAAGCAGCCCTGGCATGGGCTGATAGGAGCTGGGCTCCTTGAATTACCCTGGTGCACTCATAAGTATGCGTGAACACATATGCACCTTACTCCCCAATGGGCTCATGCACATGACTATGCTTATTCAAGTGTGTACACATATACCCACTGCCTGAAGACATGAATGTTCATGAAGATGCACTTACATACACATGTGTGTAAGCATGTCCACCTGTTCATAATACATACATGATTATATACCACTTACATACCACTTGAATATACATGCCATGTGTGTACATTCATACCTTCATATACTCTACAGCGTGCCTGTGTATTTACCCAGACAAACATATGTGTATGTGATGTGCACCTGTAAGTTTCCAGGTATGCATGTATGCACATGTGTGCGTGTACATCCACATGAGTACGCACATAGTCACACACAATACAGGCACATATTCACATATAAGCATGCATGTCCATGTACGTATGTTGTGTGTGCAACCATTCACAACTTGATTCTGATGAGAGCAGCGCCATCAAATGTGAATTTAAGCTCCTAATTTTGCCCTTCTTTGCTTCTTGGCAGCTGAGTGACTCCTCATTCTCAGGCCTCAGTTTTCCTGTGTGTCAAATGAACACATTGCACCACTGGCTCTAATATCTGTGCTAGCTCTGCGATTCTCCCTCTCCCTGAGGGAGTGTTGCATCTGCCCTGCCCATCTTTGCCTTTGACTGGTGCCTGTAGGTGCTGAGGAGAGCCAGCCTCAGGAAGATCTCCCATTTCACTTAGCTCCAGCTGGAGACAGGGTCAGGGAAACAGGGATGGGTTTCTTGTCTCAAGTCTGAGAAGGATGTCTTTTTTGGAGCTGAGGATTTTTTCCTATGTTTATGTGCAATCTCATTTTTAAAGATGAGCCAGGGAAAACCAAGGCTTGCTTCCCTCTCTGCCCCTCCCTGAAGAATTCCAAACACTGATCTGTCTTGTCAGAATGTGGCAAGGATCCGGCAGCCTGGCTGGCTCTTGGCGCCCCAGCCTGCAGACTGAATCCATTGCATATTGATCATCGATTTGGCAACGCAGCCTTCCAACAGAGCTGGCGAAGCCCTCTTGAGAGAGAAGTGCTCCCAGGACTGGCTGGGATTGGCATAGGGTGTAATAGAAAACAGAGGGTCAGCGTCTCTTACCGGGTACCCACTGTGTGCCTTGGCACTGCTCGGCTGAGGGTCGAGCTCCTGTCTGCCACTGCATCCTTAGCTGTTTGCAGCCTCAATGCCTCCAGCCTGCCATACTGCCAGCCTGTCCCCCAGAAGCCCATATCATCGTTGAAAGTCCCAGATGCTCCCACTGCTGCTCCAGTTGACCGAGCCTGGTGTTTGAGAGCCTCAGCCCCGAGTCCCCACACTGTCAAGTGCCTCATTGGATCTGCAGACATGACCTGGCATTGTCTGTATACAGCCCTGCAGGGACACAGAGGACCAGATCAAA